ATTGTATGTAAACATACAAGTGATACTACCGGGCTGGTGACAACCTAAGGGACGAAAAGATCAAGTTGTTGTACAAATAATTCAAAGATATCAGACCGAATGCGCGTGTCCTATAGAAAAGACTACATTATGTTAAGATATAGAAACCTTCTATCAACTTTAAATTATTCAGGGAGAGGACATCAGCGTTATAGCGACACAAAATATTATGCTAGCTTCTTTTCATTTTTTCCTTAGAGGTGTGTATGTTGCAAAACATGTTCTTCAATAAAAAAAATAAAGCATCTGGATGATTTAAAAACAAGATGTTGCTATAGAAACCCATCAAAGCTACCAAGATGAAACAAATTGTACGGTAGACGCGCGTTTTGTCAACAAAAGATTCACTAGTGACGCTCAAATCATATAAGTTAAAAAGCCAAATAATGGACAAAATTGAAGAGCATTGACGACCCAACATTACAAAAGGTTTTGACAAATACAGCTAATATAATATTTTATCGACGATCTTTTTAAGTCTGTCAGAAGAATTCAACAATTTCTCATAAATAATTTTGCATTAACATACCATCATTCATTTGAGAAACCATAATACGTACACAATTGCACCATGATGTGTTGCACGTTTGAAAAACTACCAGTGTTAATTATTACTCTGTCAAAACCATCATATACATAGATTCATCGTTACAAATATATTTTTAACAATATAAATAAAGCTCTCAATATATACAAGAATAAATAAATTGAAAGCTATTTCAATGTCTATTTGAAGCAACATATTTGGTTACCTTTCTAGTAACTAGAGCATTAGAAAATTATTAGCGCAGGTAATACTTTGCTTTGGAAAGAGTTAATTGTAACGAAGAGAACCAATGAAATAAGTAGGGACGGTAAAAATCATACATTGTAAAATCCGTTTAATAATAGGTTTCTAATCGAAATTAAATATTTGGTGTCAATTATATGCCTATACTAATTCACCATTTAGTTGTAAGTTCTCTTTAAATATGAGCTTGATTTGCCAAAAAATACATATTTTCCACTTAATCTATGAAAAATAAATATGTATTTCTGATAACGATGTTTCCTAATGGTATAATGGACAAAATGGCATGTTTATTCTATTCATTATCTACGCTGGTTTGATATCATAGTATTGCACTTTTAAACATTTGTAATACAAAGCCTGCAAAGATATCATAAACCTTAACATATTTTCCAAAGAGATAAAACTTTTCATATATTCAACGCACTCTTAGAACGATCGTTGACTAATATCTAGACGTATATATGTTGATATAGTCGAGCGTTTGCGTTTGTCATGTGTATGGACTTCTTTTAATTTACATTGGAGCTTAGTATTTGTTTAATACAATTTTTTTTTATTTTTATTTTTTTTTTTTTTATTTGGGTGAGGAGGGTTTGGTGCCACAAAAGGTGTTAAAATAAATTGATTTTATTGAAAATCTCCGCGATATTCCCCTCCCCTGATGAAACAATGGTACTATGTAATTTATTGCATTGATTAGTATAAACAATAGCATTATGTCCTTGTTTCTTGTTTCTTGTGTCCTAAACCCAATTTTTAATTAATTGTATATTTCGTATTTGCTTATGACTGTAGTTATACATAACGGATTCTTTAATAAAATATGTTTACACTAACCAATTAAAGCAGGATAACTGTATTACAACAGTTTAACCAGTTTAAAAATAAAATTCAGGTGTGCTGTTTATTTCACCATCTACATTGATACAATGTGCACATCAATTTCAAGGAAAGTGATTTATAAAAGAGGGACGAAAGATACCAGAGGGACAGTCAAACTCATAGATCGAAAACAAACTGACAAAGCCATGGCCAAAAATGAAAAGACAAACAGACAAATAATAGTACAGATGACACAACATAGAAAACAAAAGACTAAGCAACACGAACCCCACCAAAAACTGGGGGTGATCTCAGGTGCTCCGGAAGGGTAAGCAGATCCTGCTCCACATGTGGCACCCGTCGTGTTGCTTATGTTATTACAAATCCGGTAAATAGTCTAATTTGGTAGGTCACATTCGTGAAAAGGGAAGGGTATTGTAGTAACGACATAAGGAACATATCCGATATCATCTGTGAAACGGTTATTCCATAACGGTCAACCAACTCGTGATGGCGTCCGTAAAAATTACCAAGGGATGACTTCAACTTCACTATCTGGAACTCTTGGTTTAATAGCTTCCTTGTGAGCAGCAATCCTCTATCAAGGAAATCATGATAGGAAATACAAGCCCGGGAATATCGTGCAATGTTACAGTGATCAAACACAAATTTTATATAAGTTTATTTATGAAATGGTTATCCCATGGAAAATCTACAAAAATCATTGTCAACTATATATACTATAGAAATGCACATAAATAATGTTATGTAAATGCAGTAAAGAAATTGAAAATATCAAACACAACAGGATGGTAAATAGGCATCTAATTGACACCAGATAAATTAGAAACCTATTTTACACTGACTTTTCAAAGTGGTCGTTTTATATTAATATACAGTCCCTGCTTTTCATTGGTTATTTTAGTGATTATTTACTCCTCCTAAAGGAAGGTAATACCTGAACTAAAAAGATTCCTGGTTCATCTAACAAGCAAAGGTAACTGAGGATTTTTTTAAATATATTAAGAAAAGAAGAAAAAAAAAAACAATTAAGAAAGGAATTACTGAATAGATGAATGAATGAATAATATATCAATAAATAAATAAATAAATAAATTGCCTGCTAGAGCTGGTCAAAACTGTTTTAAAGATGGAGCTACCAAGGTATTTTTTATGTTGGAACTTTCGACAACTGATGTAGGTTGAATACGGACAAAACGGCTCTAGGATAGAACCGTTTCTGTTTAATCTGCTTTAGGGACAGCTCTAGATCATTTACTGACCGATTTGAATTGGATCTAACTGTATATGATTAATTTAGAGATTATTAATTTTGAAAATTGATTGTATGTTTGAATTTGATATTAAATAGATTGCCCTAATGGAACACATGGTGAAAACTGCCTGGAAAAGTGTCAAGGCAACTATTACGGCTTTAGATGTCAGTTCGAATGTAATTGTTTTGCCAATGAGACGTAGGTATTTGCCATAGTACAGCTTTCATGCATTTTAATGGAAATATATACCTACTTATGCCTACTGCAATCTGCAAAATCATTTAAAAGGAAGTAGCAGTTACAGACAACTGATCGAGGTGTTGCTAAACTGAAAATATATTTTAAGAAATATGATGCAGACAGGTCGACAAAACGCATGCATATAATACAACTTCTTGTATATAGTTTTGTATTAAATCATTCTTGGCTAGCTGTCAGTAATTGCGAGTGTCTATTTTGTTGTTGCTAGGGATGAGGGACGGATATATACCCGGCCACGTCTTGTCAATGTTTTCGTTTGATGTTTTTCTTTGTATTGATCTGATGAGTTAAGCCTTTACAACTAATTTTTATCGTTTGTTCTTATGTTGTGCTGTTACACTACTGTCCTAGCTTAGGGGAGGGTTGAGCGCTCACAAACATGTTTAAGCCCGCCACATTCTATATGTGCCTGTCCCAAGTCAGGAGCCTGTAGTTCAGTTATCGTTGGTTCATGTCTGTCATATTTTTTTTTGTAAATTGTTTTGTTATAAATTAGGCCGTTAGTTATCTCAATTGAATTGTTTCGTATTTTTCATGTAGGGGCCTTTTATAGCTGACTAAACGGTATGGGATTTTCTCATTGTTGAAGGCCGTCCGGTTGCCTAAAATTGCTTACATCCACTTCACATTGTACTTTGGAGGATAGTTGTCTCATTTGCAATCATACCACACCTCCTTATTTTCAAATTTAAAAAAAACTGAACTTAAAATACCTACATCAATGTATAAAAATTCCTATGACTCCATTTTTAATGGGATAACCTCTATGGCAATATATTGTTGCTTTGTTTTAAATTGAAAACAATTTTCTGTCACTTTTAGATGTAATACGGCCACCGGCTGTGAGGAAATATTACAACTTTCTTACAATTTCACGAAAGGTACGTACGCCTCACGAATTTTACGTTAGACCCGTTCGAGAGATCCTATATTAGACTTTTGAGTTCCTTTTTATGAAGATGACATTTTTATTTAATATTTTTCAATGCTGTCATTGGATTTCGATGGCTTTTTTCTAAATGTTTGTCTAATAAGGACCATTGTACTGTATGCAAACACACAAGAGTTTTTGGTCGACACTTGCTAAAACATAGGCTCGCCATAAGAAGTTCATCTAAAAATTAAAGATTGTGCTCCCCAAAACAATTACATCTTTGCATTATTTAACCTAACAAAGTACCATGGCATATATTATGTATATATTGGATACCTCACCAAAAAAAAATAAAAGATACTTCCTAAATTCTGAACATTGAAACCCGCAAAAATGTTTAACATTTTAACCTTTACACCCACAATATATTAAGGGGCTCGTTTTATAAGTCTTGTATTCCGTCCATCTGTGTAATGCACCTTTAGCCTGTCGTTGAGACCATACACCCGAGTACGATACAGGTCATATCGTCACAAACACTGATTTCGACATTTCTGAATTTGTCAGTGGAAAATAAAATAACAAAAATACCGAACTCGAAGGAAAATTCAAAACGAAAAAAAAATCCCTCTAAAACATCTTTCCCCACAAAATATTATAAATATATTAAGAAAGAAGAAAGAACGTCGTAATCAAAACCATGAAAGATAACTCAAATCGATCTTATTTTGCTCTTCAACTTCGTACTTTATTTGCCCTTTTTAACCTTTTTTATTCGAGCGTCACTAGTGAGTCTTTTGTAGGCGAAACTCGCGTCTGGCGTACATAATTTCAATCCTAGTATCTATAATGAGTTTATATAGGTAAGGAATACGTGTTTATAGAGGTTTCTCAACATCTCACGAACGGACGAAACTCGACGAACGTATCGTTAGGGAGCTGTAATTTTATGCAGTTAAATTTATACCGATATTGCAGCGTGTTTAAAAAGAAAAGAGTAAACAATTTAATATTCATTTTGCAACCTTGTAATTTATTGTTGTGGTTAAACATTAGTGTTCCAATTGGTTTTGTGTTATTGAATGTTGCGTAACCTTACGTCGAGTTTCGTTTATTTACATGTCGAATATTAGGTTGGTCCCCTCCGTAAAATATTCAGTATGCCTTCGGAATATACAAATATTGTCAAGAATTTCAATAACGGCCGGGTACCAGTCTAGTCGAATATACGTTCGATTTATCTCCCTTATCCATTTAAAAAGAACAATGTTTTTGATAGTCGTTGTTAAAAAAAAATCTGCGCATTTGGTTTGCATTTGACCGAATGATTGTTGGATGTTTTTAGCTCACCTGACCCGAAGGGCCAAGTGAGCTTTTCTCATCACTTTGCGTCCGTCGTCCGTCGTCGTCGTCGTCGTCGTCTGTTAACTTTTACAAAAATCTTCTCCTCTGAAACTACTGGGTCAAATTTAACCAAACTTGGTGACAATCATCATTGGGGTATCTAGTTTAAAAAATGTGTCCGGTAATCCGGTCAACAAACCAAGATGGCCGCCATGGCTAAAAATAGAACATAGGGGTAAAATGTAGATTTTGGCTTATATCTCTGAAACCAAAGCATTTAGAGCAAATCTGACATGGGGTAAAATTGTTTATCAGGTCAAGATCTATCTGCCCTGAAATTGTCAGATGAATCTGACAACCCGTTGGTGGGTTGCTGTCCCTGAATTGGTAATTTTAAGGAAATTTTGCCGTTTTTGGTTATTATCTTGAATATTATTATAGATAGAGATAAACTGTAAACAGCAATAATGTTCAGCAGAGTAAGATCTACAATTAAGTCAACTTGACCAAAATGGTCAGTTGACCCCTTAAGGAGTTATTGCCCTTTATAATCAATTTTTAACCATTTTTCGTAAATTTTTGTAATCTTTTACAAAAATCTTCTTCTCTTAAACTACTATGACAAATTTAACCAAACTTGTCCACAATCATCATTAGGGTATATAGTTTAAAAAAATGTGTCCGATGACCCCGCCCGCGAACCAAGATGGCCGACATGGCTAAAAAATAGTACATAGGGTAAAATGCAGTTTTTGGCTCATATCTCTGAAACCAAAGCATTTAAAGCAAATCTGACATGGGGTATAATTGTTTATCAGGTCAAGATCTATCTGCCCTGAAATTTTCAGACCAATCAGGCAAATCGTTGTTTGGTTGCTGCCCCTGAATTGGTAATTTTAATGAAATTTTGTCGTTTTTGGTTATTATCTTGAATATTATTATAGATAGAGATAAACTGTAAACAGCAATAATGTTCAGCAGAGTAAGATCTACAATTAAGTCAACTTGACCAAAATGGTCAGTTGACCCCTTAAGGAGTTATTGCCCTTTATAGTAAATTTTTAACCATTTTTCGTAAATTTTTGTAATCTTTTACAAAAATCTTCTCCTCTGAAACTACTAAGACAAATTTAACCAAACTTTTACACAATCATCATTAGGGTTTATAGTTTAAAAAATGTGTCCGATGACCCCGCCCGCGAACCAAGATGGCCGACATGGCTAAAAATAGAACATAGGGGTAAAATGTAGATTTTGGCTTATATCTCTGAAACCAAAGCATTTAGAGTAAATCTGACATGGGGTAAAACTGATTATCAGGTCAAGATCTATCTATTGGTAATTTTAAGAAAATTTTGCAGCTTTTGGTTATTATCTTGAATATTATTATAGATAGAGATAAACTGTAAACAGCAATAATGTACAGCAAAGTAAGATCTACAAATAAGTCAACATGACCAAAATTGTCAATTGACCCCTTAAGGAGTTATTGCCCTTTATAGTCAATTTTTTACAATTTTTTCATAAATTTTGTAAATTTTTGTAAATTTTTACAAAATATTTTCCACTGTAAGTACTGGGCCAAGTTCATTATAGATAGAGATAATTGTAAGCAGCAAGAATGTTCAGTAAAGTAAGATCTACAAACACATCACCATCACCAAAACACAATTTTGTCATGAATCCATCTTTGTCCTTTGTTTAATATGCACATATACCAAGGTGAGCGACACAGGCTCTTTAGAGCCTCTAGTTTTTATAAAACGTTCAGTGGCGAGTATTCCATGCATTTCACGACGATATTAACATTTGATAAAGGATTGAAAAGAGGTTGAGAGGACACAACCTTTATATTTAAATCTCCAACTCTGGACATAAAGTCATATGAGAGGGTCGTAATGGGGGTACCTTCATGACGAATAACGGTAAAAATTCTTGCCAAATGACGTTATCGGTACTTTTTGGTGCATTACGATAAAATGTACACTTTCTTTTAGACGATAAAAAATTCGACTGATTTTGACGAATCACGTTAGTTTTTTTCCAAAAATAACGGTAACGATAATTATTTGAGACCCCTGACGAATCACGATAAGGATATTTTGACGAATCACGGTAAAATTTTAACCAATATGACGCTAACGGTAGCCGAAAATGACCGTTTGACGCCTGACGGTAAAGGGCATTACTACCCTCATATGAAACCTCAAATTAAAAAAAAAAATGATGCATATGTTTTTTATAACTAACTGGATAGTTTTCATTATAAAACTTGTGTACATATACTTTTTCTGAAGAAATTTTTTAAAATTGTCCACATTTAGAAGGAGTTGACTTTTTTTAATTGCTTGCTTCCAGGAAGCAATTCGCCGACATATTTTCCGTATGCAAGTGACCTTAGCGTGACCCTCCTCGTAAAATCCCGGTGATCGCAATACGCATGGATCTGTCATTAAAATGAACTATTATCTGATTGTACATGTTATACACGTGCTCAATATCCCTGCTTCTTTGTTGATTGTTTACTATAAGGTGACAATCGGTAAACTACGGCTTCAAAACACGACAATTAAGGAGCTGCCATATTTTCACATCATAACAGACAGAGAGAAAAAAAAAATTGACGATTATACGATATGTTTGCGTAAAAAATGATAAAATCGTGTACAGAAGACTAAGTTTATGATATATACATGCATTGGTTCAAGAATTGGATAAACATTATTTTTCACCAGTCACTCGTTTCATATGACTTTAACATTTCTAGCGCTCGACTTTAGATCTACAGCGCTAGACTTTACACCCCAGTGCGCTGGACTTTGAAAACCACAACTCTATATCTGCGTGAGACCAGCAGATCACTGTATTATAGAGATGTTTTGCGAGGATTTATAGGCCACACAGACTAATATATCAGCAGTGCATATGGCCTTAGCTAGTTCTTATAGTTCAAACAAAGTAGACTAGTCTTTTCCTATCCTTAATAATTGTTGACAAATAATAAAGATTGAATTTTGAAAGTCACAGAGAAATGAAATTTGGTCACTTCATAAACAAATCAAAGGTGGCAAGAAAGGTCTAACACAAAAACTCGTTAACCATAACCCATTTTTCATATATTCTGATTAATGTTAATACATGTATAAGTGTAAAACAACTTCGATAAATATATATACATATTGAATTATAACGCATAAAGAGATAAGATGTGGTTTAAAACAGTTTAATTTCTTCATTTATCTCCACATTTATTCGATAGTATTCAATAATAAATATTGGGAACCACTCCTAACAGCAAGAAAAGGCGGCATTTTTTATGTATCTTTGATATATATGTCGTTAAAACCGCTGTTTATTTATATGTATTTTAAAAGTTTTTTGGGGGAGTCAGTTATATTGTAATTAATAGAGTTGTGTGTATTCTAATGGAAAGTATGAGTGCTACAGCACCAACAGAACTGATTGTAATATAGATATTAAAATGTACATTGAAACAATTTAAATTATACTAATATACTAATAAGTGTACGATAATAAAAACATAGACAAAAAGGATAAGAAAGGCCTTGAAAATAAAACAAAAATCGACAATACATTACAGAATATCATTTCAAGTGAGCTTTTTTTTCTCAAATATCTATTTCAGTATTTCCCTTTATTCAT